TGTTTGCGATCGGAATAAAAACATTCCGCAAAATGTCTGAGGCGCAACATTAAAATCCGTGGTTTCACCGGATTCAAGGCAGCTTCATCTACTATATACATATCAGTCGTGATTCAAAACATAGGAGTTTAAGTGACGCACAACGGGGTGTCTCTTGCTACCGTCTGAAATTTTGTTACGCTTGAGAGACACAACCAGACAGATGGGACTTCATCAGCAAGATATATGTCATTCTTTATGACGGTTCACAATGTCGTAGAATGGAAAATGCGACTGACAAGACACAGGCAATCTAGAGATCCATAAGGAAAATCCTGCGTTGCTTAAAGCAGGAGAAAGTAATCGACTCAGGTAGGTTCGAATACACCAGACCGAGTGGGACAGTGTTTCCAAAGTTACATGGCCTGCCCAAAGTACACAAGGATGAGTACCACTAAGACCGACACTGGATATGTGTAACTCGCCGTACCATTCAACAGCAAGTGGCTCACCAAACGGCTGGAACCAGTCAGGAGATCCCCAGCTAGATAAAGACCCAAGGTTACCTTCGAATTTGTTGACTCAGTGAGACAAATTGAGCTAGCAGGGCCACAGACCTTTACCTTAGATGTGGTGTTTCTTTTACCAAAGTTCCATTCGAGGAGAACATAGACTATGTGTTTGAGTTCATCAAGCTGCGCAACTTCAATGTAGGTATCCCGCCAGACCGGTTGAGACAACTGCTACACATTCGCAAGAGAAAAATTGGATTTCAGTCTAAAGGAAACCGATATCACAAACAGACGGGGTGGCAAAGTGTTTACCAACAGGACCGTTGCTCGCGCACGACTACTTGAGCAAATTGGAGTGCAATCAGCCGAACGAATCTAACAGCTTTTGTTACTACGGCCGATAGGGAAACGACATAATTTGTATTGCGGATAATGGAATTTGCGTCCATGATGTATTGGTTCAGTTTAAAACCGCAAAAAGTAACGTAACTTTCCATATCGAGCTAGAACGTAATGACTCGTTGGCATCTTTAGATGTCCAAATCAACAGGGCATCAGACGGGTCAATGCGGAGGAGGGTGCAAAGAAAAGCAACCTGGAATGGGCAGTACATCCATTTCGCTAGTTTTGTTCAGATAAGTCAATAAAGGAAACTCGTTTGTGGCCTAACGGAGAGAGCGAGGAAAACATGTACAGACGATGCGCTTTCAGATGAGCTGAGCTTTATAGGAAGCGTACTCGAGCGTAATGGCTACCCTGAGAAATTCATCCAGTGGTCCATGGAACCGTGATTACAAAATCACAAACCCGTTTCAGCGGAGAAGCCGATGATATACTTATCGTTACCATTTAAGGGTGACGCGATAGCGGAACGGACCACCCGAAGACTTTCCTTAGCAGCAGAGAGAACGTATTTTGTCGCTAATCAAGGCGTAAGCTTCACCTAAACACCGATTATGCGCCAACAACTTAAAGGCAAGAAACCTCATTCGCAGACCTCCTTCTGTGTGTACAATTTCTCTTGCTCGTGTCGAGCATGGTATATTGGGAAAACGACCTGGCAACTGTCCGTTAGCGCGCCAGAGCATTGCCTAGGTTGGTTCTACAGCGGGGCGAGGAAGAATGAGCCGAGTGCAATAATGACGCACTCAGTAGACTCCGATCATCAAATCGATTCGCATGACGCATTCACTTCGATCTACCGTGCCCCTAGGCGTTACACGCGAGCAGTCGTTTGTCACCTGCTCTCCATAGCAGAGGCGATCGCAATTCGGCTCTATAACCCGGACCTATGTGCACAGAAAACTCGCACATACTTTAACCCTGCCTTTGCCTCAGATCAACGCGAATAACAATGGCAGTCACGCCAATTCACCTGACCTCGCCTCGACCCCACCAAGTACGTAGACTTATCCATTTGTTACTCGACTTTAGTGAGCCAATTTAAACCTATTGTGTCTATTCTAGCTGGCTATATTGTGGTTGTATTAGTCTGATGATGATGCACTGAAAACATGCTTGTTCGCTACTTTCTGTTTCTGATGTCATCTCTTAGAATAATTTTTCAATTGAGATAATCATTTTTAGACACTAAAGATTTTTTCAGCGTCTAACAAATTCACGGAAATGCGTAGAGAAGGGATGGTTATGTCTGCTACTTTTGGAGTGACATTATGCATCCCGTTACATAAGGCGTATGTACATTCACAAATTTTTCCTGAATTTTAGTTGTACCAGAAAACAAGCTGTTGCTTATTTTGCAACATTGCATTTTACCGTTGTTTTAACCTACAAAACGTCCACTTGTTTTACTGACTGCACATCTGTTGACACAAAGCGTTTTAGTGAGTAACTTGCTGCACCGTTTCTCCATCTGATTGATTCGCTTCCTACTTTTGTAGCCTGCACAATATACGTTGGGTTCAGTCGCCTGCAAGTTCTTTACTGTTGCTTATTTGACACCTCTCTTACGTGTCATTGACTACCGACTATTATCCCAGTGGCAACCCAACAATTGATTACCCGGTCCAAAACACGCCGTCCGCCACTTTGAATTTTCATTCTGGTGAGCCCGTTCCACTGACTTTGTGTCTCATTACTTGTGGTCATAATGTTTTCTCACCAATCACACTTTTTTATTCACTTTTCGCAATGGATTATCTAGAGGATAGACCACCTACATACCGGGTAGCGCTGTTGAGCCTGCCATGGTCAATTCTGTGGTGTTATGCTCTCCACCTTTTTACGAATTATCCTTCGTTATGGTTTTCACACCTAGAATCCGTTTTTTACAGTCGTAGGATTTCTTCTGATTTATCCATGTATAATCAGCTAAGATCACGCCTTCCTCAGAGTATATCCTCGCAGCTAAGAGACATCATATTTCCCCCACTTGTAATGAAATTCGAGACAATTGAACAGCTTATTATTCAGCGAACCACGTCTTCTGACTAGGTTCGTCTGCAGCATTTATTTACTGAGCCCGAACTAAGAGATAGGATGCCCCCAGCCTTGTTGCGTGAATTGCAACACCACATCGACAAGTCCAACATGAACGTAGAGTTTCTGGGCGAGCTATAGATGCAATGCCTACATGAAAGCACTTGTTCTATCCTTGCAGTAGCAAGTGACTTGCCATTCGCAGCAATTGAAGAGCTGGCAGACCGCGTCATTGAAAGATACGAGACAGGGACTGAAACCAAAGCACGTAAGCAGCTGTATGCTGACTCAACCACACCGACAAGCGCGACGAGCCAGCCGTCGACAATAGACGCAGTATCCTCGCATATAGCGTCGCTTCAATACCAGAACGAAAAGCTCACTTTAAACCGTAAGCCCCGCAGCCGCTCCGGATCATCGCCCCGTGGCACAAATGCTAGTCACAGGGTACTCATTTACCACTCGCCTTTCGGTACTAAAACCCGTAAGTGAGTACAGTCATGTGGCTACTGCGCTATAGATGGTCTGCCACGCCGGCTTATAATGGCAACTAACGGTGTCGGCAAAGCCCAAAGTCGTCTCACCTACATTAGGGATTAGGATTCCGAGACCTAGTTCTTAGTTGATACCAGGGCGCAACTCAGCGTCATATCTCCCATGCTAAGTGAGCCTATTGCTCCTTTGTCGACAAGCCTAAGTGCCATCAATGGCAATCCAGTATTCACCTACGGTCATCGACCGCTTACTCTAGACCAAGGTCTTCGGCTCACGTTTCGCTGGGTATTCACCGTCGCTGCAGTCCACTTTGCTATCATCGGCATTGAGTTTCTCAAGTATTTCTAAAATTGGTCGATGTGAAAAGCTAGATGATAGTCGACAGTGCAACAAAACTCAGTGTAAGTGGCATCACGGCCGATATCACATCAATAACAATAGTCTACACCATTTCCCCAACCTCCGCAGACTAAGGTAGCCTATTTTCCTAGTATTCCAAGCTCGTTCAGCCAATGAACGCAGCTTTGCCCGTGGCATCCCAAGTCACGCACCACATGCGGACGAACGTCCCACCCGTCTCATGCCGATCACCCCGACTATCGCTCGATAAACTAAAGGTTGCTAGGGCAGAGTTTGAGCACACGCTTGAACTTGGAATAATCCGCCCTTCCGACAGCCCTTGGTCCTCGCCCCTGCAGTTGGTCCCCAAGAAATCTGGTGACTGGCGCCCTTGCGGTGAGTAGCGCGCACTCAATAGGCTAACGTCCCAGATATGTATCCCATCCTACACAGCACCTTACAAATGTCTCACAGGTAAGATGATCTTCAGCAAGATCGCTCTGGTTCGCGCCTATCACCAGATCATTGTAGAAGAAAATGAAATTTCTAAAACAGCCGTTATCACTCCTTTTATCTTGTTTGAAATTTTATGAATGCCATTTGAACTGTGAACCCCCTCACAAACCATCCAACACTTCATCCAAGATGTCACTCGTGGCTTAGACTTCGCTTTTCCTACATCGATGATATTTTAGAAGCCAGTTCATCGGAACAAGAGCACCTCGAGCACCTTCGAACTCTCTTCCAGCGCTTGTTCTAACTCGGTGTCATAGTCAACCAGACTAAGTGCGAACTCGGTAAATCAAAGGTAAAATTCTTAAGCCATATCGTTTCGTCGTCTGGTATCAAAGTCTTTCCTGATATGATCCCGGTAATCCATAACTTGCCTGCTCCGACTTAGTTCAAGCACCTCCGTCCATGTTGTGGTTCGGTAAATTACTATCGGCTCTTCATTTCGCGTTGCGCTCAGGTCATGTTGCCTCTGATCAACCTACTCAGAGGAAAGGAAAGTAACTTCGCGTTCCCTGACACAGCACAGAGAGCCTACCTCGAGCTCAAGGATGCTATCCTCAACGTAGCCCTCCTCGCTCATTCCGAATGGACTGCGCCCTTTTCTATTCCGAGTGATGCCTCAGACGTCGCCGTAGGAACCGTCCATCAGCCGCAAGTTGTGGGCACTGGCAACCGTTTGGGTTCTTCTCTAAGCGCCTTCAGCCAGCGGAATCCCGCTGCAGCATGTTGGGCAGAGAACTGCTCGCTATTTACCTAGCCATTCGTCACTTCAGACACACAATCGAAGGCTGCGCTTCTACCGTCTACACTGAATATAAGCCCCTCATCATCACCTTCAACTCTGCTTGCGACAAATACTCACCATGGGAAACAAGACACCTAGATTTGTCACGCAGTTCGCTGCTAACATACGCCATGTCTCAGGTGTCGACAATCCAGTTGCTGACGCTCTCTAATGCATCAACTTCACTATCCAACCTTTGCCTACCGTCGACCTTACCGTTATGGCATCCGCGCGGGCTCAAGATAAAGACGTACAACGCACTCTGCAAGCCACTTCGCTGCATGTGCAACCTGTTACTCTCTAAACTACGGAAGGAGCCATTCGTGTGATATTTCTACAGGTTGTCCTAAACCCCTCGTGCCTGTCTCCTTCAGACGCACATTCTATGGCACACTGCACTCGCTATCACATCCCGGTATCCGTGCATCTTTGAAACTGGTCACCGTACGTTATGTTTGGTCAGGAGCAACCGAATACTTTAGTACCTGGCCTCGCGACTGAATTCAATGCCAGCGCTTCAATCCATATTGTCAAACCCGTAGTCTTCTTTGTTCATTTCCTGCTCCGGACTCTCGCTTCTCGCATGTACACTTAGACCTGGTAGGTCCTTTGCCTCCGTCACCCGGATTCGTATAAATCCTTACATGTGTCAATCGCTTCACCAGATGGCCAGAAACCATTCCGTAAAAGACTGCACAACTGTGACTGTTATCCCGGCCTTCTTAGATCGGTGGGTCTCGCACTAAGGATGCCCATCCACCATTACAACTGACTGAGGAACGCCTTTCCAATCTTCACAATTCGATAGGTTCTGAAACTTTTAGGCTGCCGCCGCATTCATACAACAACGTATCACCCAGCAACCAACGGTTTAATTGAACGCTTCCATAGACAGCTTAAAGCTTTGCTCTGCGCCTCCTCCAACCCTAGCTGAAACAAAAATGTTTCGCTCGTACTCTTAGGCATTCGTAGCAGCATCAAAGCTGAGTTGCAATGTGTACCAGCAGAGCTAGTATACGGCACAACGCTAAAGTTACCTGGATAATTCGTTTCACCTCCCACATCATCGGGTATGCCTCCGCTTAAATTTGTTTCCACCCTAGCTCAACGAATGCGTTCAGTACGCCGATTCCACTCAGTTAGCGAGTGGAGATGCGCAAATACACAGCGAACTCTCTGCCTGTACTCACGTCTTCCTACGCACCGACGCAGTGCGGCGTCCTCTCCAGCCTCATTACACTGGCCCGTTCAGAGTTCTGCAACGGATTTCGAAACATTTTACTCTAGACCAGACTGGTCACCGAACAACTGTGTTCATCGACCGCTTCAAATTGGTTTTCTTTGAAGAACCAATTGCAACCCAGCCTGGTGCTATCTCACAAGCACCCGCACCTGCGGCAACTTCCCGAGCACTGGATATCCCGAAACCTTCCTTTCCCCTGGACCCTCAACCTACCCAGCTTCAATCCCTGGCAACCGACCGAAGCGTCAGACAGCTCAAACATCATGTCCGTTTTTCAGAGTTTGTAAAGGTCTTCTATTTCCATTATGCCGCATTTTTCTTCTCGAGTTGTAGTCACGCGTCACGTCCACAAACGTTTAGTAAAATTTAGAAAAAATCTCAAAACCTTTTGAAAACTTATAAAGGGTATTTGCTTTCATAATGTACATCAGGTACCCTATCCGGCTTCCAGCCACTTCCCTGACCCTTTCACTCTCCATCTGAGTTATAGCTTTCAGAAACTAAACCGCCCGAACTGCCAATGCCACCCTTTAAGTGACTCGCCAACCTGCCACAGCAACCCCTAATGAATCGCCAGCCGACCCAAGGACACCTTTCTGCACTAAGGAACAGTCAGTCGACCTCGGCCGCAGACAGCCACGAACGATATGGTCCCCAAACGCCTAGCCAAGCCTTGCAGACTAGTGGGCCGGATTTCTTAGTGAGACGAAGACGTCTGGATGTCTTCGTGAGAGTGGGACCGTGGACTGGAGTGCGATGGGGTGAGTGACACCTCCCAAGCACACCGTCGAGGCTTTAGCAAAGGGAAGATCCTATCGGACTATTTTCTGCATTAGCCAGCTTTTCACATTCCGAGCAGCCAGTCGGACGGCCCATCGACGATGCACTCTGATCCATTGGATTTTAATTAATAATAAATGATAAAAGCCTGAACCCAGTGAACTCTGCTACATACCCGAAATTAGAAGCCCTTACTCAAGCCCATGCAACTATTCGCACCCATCCTCACCTTCCGTTTTCCCCTTCTCTGGGGAGGCTCTTGTAGTGTACCGAAAAACAAGCTCTTTCAGTATTTTGCAACGTTACATTTTTACGGTTGTTTTAACCTACAAAACATCCACTTGTTTTACTGACTGCACGTCTGTTGACACAAAGCGTTTTAGTGAGTAACTTGCTGCGCCGTTTCCCCATCTGATTTATTTGCTTCCTATTTTTGTAGCCTGCACAATATACGTTGGGTTCAGTCGCCTGCAAGTTCTTTACTGTTGCTTATTTGACACCTCTCTTACGTGTCATTGACTACCGACTATTATCCCAGGCTCCACCAAAGTTCGCTTAAGTTTTCTTATATCAGTTGGCGAGAATCCCTGCTTCAATTTCGTAAACTATTGACGTGCTTTCACAGTAGTTTGTGTTTAGCGCTAAAAGTTATTCAGATGTTTTGCTGATATGCGACTTCGCTTTCTTTGATCATTTAAGTGTAGTTGTTACCTTGGGCTACTAGATGTCCCAAGTTTCTGACGTTGGTGTCAATCTATAATCTCGCCATTTTATATTGTGTATTAGCATCCATCATCTAGTTCTGCTCCTAACGGAAGAAATTGCCCTGTGCATATTGCAGCCTATTGTCTCCTTAACATATGTAATCAGTCGACTGGATTTGTTGACGGACTTGAGCCAGGCGACTATGGGGGCTCTTCGGCAAATAAAGCCAGATTGTAACGCTGACGAGCTTGGCCAATCGATCCTAGCGTGTGATGGTTTGAACCAGCTTTTTACTCCCATTTCTATAATCCGCATTGTAGACGAAGTTGAAAATAATCACTGCATGATAAATGCCACCAAACGGACAGTATGCCACCAACACATCAATCGTGTGCTTCTCATTGTTAAACACAAGTTCTAGTACGAATGGTTTGTTACTAGTTATAATGCGAATTGACGAAAAGCGCAATATATAATACAGACTCCAACAGATGGGCTTTAAATGGCATTTGGAACATAGCAGGCGTTTCTAAATAATGTAAGTTGAAGTTACCCATGATAAAGATGTGCGTGGACCGCTATTTTAGAATTCGTCAAAGAGAAGTCGCAAGGTGTCAGTGCATTTCGGTTTTTGATTTGCTTGCTGGTGCACCAAGGCAATTAGGCATGTGTATTTGCCATTTAACTGCCGGCGACACCCAAGAGAATCTGGAATCTGAGAGTCTGAGTACCCGAAGTTCTCGCCATTTGCTTTGCTTTCGTAATACAGAATTATTCCACCTCCTTTTGTGAGTCTCTACTGTCGGATGAGTAAGGTGTCAGGTAACAAAATTCAGCTACGTTATCCCAGTGTGTAATATTGTCTCAGTGGTAACCATGAGAACACATGAGATAGAAAAATAGCAATATTTTATTTCGGGTTGGTTTTGAAAACGTTTTGAGCATTCGAATTTAGGCAGGATAGTTTCTCGGTCTCTAGGAACACACAAGTGGCTGAATGCGTCAGGTGTGGAAGATTGGCAGACATGTTCAATTCTCTTCAATTTCACAGCATAAGTGTGCATTTGACTGGATGCTTTCTGCTGCGAGGATGCATTTCTGCTTCCTGCTGTGTGTTACACTAAGGGATGCGCAGTATGCAACGCATGTCTCGCTGTTGAGTCGCTCAGGATATAGAATATTATTCCTGTACATTGTCCATGATTCGCAACCATGGAAAAGGACAGTGAGTAAAATTTAATTGTATACCATCAGTTTGGTTCCGAACGTGAACGAATGGGTCTTCCACACCCAGTGTTCCAATATGTCAAATGCGTCACCTTTCTTCTATATGTGAGTGAACAGCTCGCGGTTCCTGTGCAGGCCTGTTGACAGCATACTACTGTGGTAGCGAAAGTAGCATGAGTGTTATAACTATCATGATTTGTTGGCAGCTCACGGTCTCAATTCCTGGTGAGTGTTAAAAGCGGCAATCAGATTTACATCTCTTAATGGCAAGTCCGCGGTTGACCGTTGTAAAGTAATTGAGTTTTGCGAAATAATTCCTGGAGACGTCATCAGAAACAGAAAGTAGCGAACAAGCATGTTTTCAGTGCATCATCATCAGACTAATACAACCACAATATAGCCAGCTAGAATAGACACAATAGGTTTAAATTGGCTCACTAAAGTCGAGTAACAAATGGATAAGTCTACGTACTTGGTGTGGTCGAGGCGAGGTCAGGTGAATTGGCGTGACTGCCATTGTTATTCGCGTTGATCTGAGGCAAAGGCAGGGTTAAAGTATGTGCGAGTTTTCTGTGCACATAGGTCCGGGTTATAGAGCCGAATTGCGATCGCCTCTGCTGTGGAGAGCAGGTGACAAACGACTGCTCGTGTGTAACGTCTAGGGGCACGGTAGATCGAAGTGAATGCGTCATGCGAATCGATTTGATGGTCGGAGTCTACTGAGTGCGTCATTATTGCACTCGGCTCATTCTTCCTCGCCCCGCTGTAGAACCAACCTAGGCAATGCTCTCGCGCGCTAACGGACAGTTGCCAGGTCGTTTTCCCAATATACCATGCTCGACACGAGCAAGAGAAATTTTACACACAGAAGGAGGTCTGCGAATTAGGTTTCTGGCCTTTAAGTTGTTGGCGCATAAGCGGTGTTTAGGTGAAGCTTACGCCTTGATTAGCGACAAAATACGTCCTCTCTGCTGCTAAGGAAAGTCTTCGGGTGGTCCGTTCCGCTATCGCGTCACCCTTAAATGGTAACGATAAGTATATCATCCGCTTCTCCGCTGAAACGGGTTTGTGATTTTGTAATCACGGTTCCATGGACCACTGGATGAATTTCTCAGGGTAGCCATTACGCTCGATTACGCTTCCTATAAAGCTCAGCTCATCTGAAAGCGCATCGTCTGTACATGTTTTCCTCGCTCTCTCCGTTAGGCCACAAACGAGTTTCCTTTATTGACTTATCTGAACAAAACTAGCGAAATGGATGTACTGCCCATTCCAGGTTGCTTTTCTTTGCACCCTCCTCCGCATTGACCCGTCTGATGCCCTGTTGATTTGGACATCTAAAGATGCCAACGAGTCATTACGTTCTAG